CCCCAAAACCCCAAAACCCCAAAACCCCTTAAACTCCTTCTTAATTGAAAATTATAATAATTGATTGAAAATGAAGAGACATTATGGTACTAAGAGGAATCCTGCAGTTTACTTCCAACACAGAAGGGGACAATACAATAATCATTCAGAAGTCAATGAAGTAATTCAAAACATCTAAATACATGTTATTGGGTTCGACCATTTGGTTTTTTGGAATGGAGTAATTGGAAATAACTAGCCTTTTTCTCTTTTAAAGATCAAGGAGTTAACCAAATAATTAACTAGGAATGGGGAATATTTTTTAGAGTAAAGTTACCTTTCCTTTAATTTAAGGAACTTATATAAATTATTGAGAAAAATATATTAACACTTTCTTCAGAGATTACCAAATCATAAAATTAACAATTTTAGGCAAGACTATAAATCAATTTACTGACCTCACTACAATCCCATATCATCCTCAATCTAAATTTTCACGCCAGCACAAGCCAAAGAATTCGAGCCATAAAAAGTACCAGCTCAAGACTACATTAAACAGTCCATCAAACCGAAGTAAGCATGTCCTCCTATCTATACTACTAAGCTATAGCCCAGATCAAACCTAGCGGTAACTTGAGCTTGAGTGATAACACATTCTCAAACTTGGAAGATAACCAAGGACAACTTAGCAGTAACTCTCTATTCAACTTCTAGGTCTAACAGGCAATCTTCAGACTTGCATTGGAAATAATAAGGTTATTCTTCCAAGTCTTCCTCCCAAACTCATAAACCCTAAACATCAGAGTAGGTCTTTTGCGCTTTAACTCATATGACTTGTTTCATCCTTTAACTGTGTTATTTCATGCCAAACTCTTTGTATAAGTTAGTTCATAATTGAGTTCGATTTTACCATCGATTAGCATTATATTTTATCCACATTTTTATCTAAACCCTAGCTACTGGAAAGAACTAATTAGACAACAAGCCCTGGTTTATGCCCCATCTTCAATCAGGGAATTTTTACTGACTTAAAGAAGATAAAATTAAACTAGAGTGTTTGGGACTTATGCATTTCAGTTAGCCAGAGAGATTAATCACTGAAATTTCGTGATTAGGGAATTTCTTGAGATTACTTATACTTCCAACAAGACTATTCCTCTAAATTTGGCAAAATACTCCATTCTATCATAAGCTCAACTAATAATGAATGCTCAATCAAGAAGATAAGGCAGATGTCTGTTCACCCTCAATTGCTCACACAAGATACTTAGAAGAGTAAATCACACTTAATTTTCATAGTCGGATTAGGTTGATTTGTTAGGAAACATTGAGCAATTATTTATTTATCTTAATTGAACTTGGCCAATTTAGATTGCACATTGGCTACTTTAAACCATGTTTATAAATTTGGAGGTACTATTTATTCTCCAAAATATCCAATTAATTCATGGAAGGGTCAACAGAGGTATTTCACCAGCTTCATCTCTATCAAGTATTCATTATCTATTAGTTTATGATGATTTGCAGCAATCTTCCCAAATCTAGAGGAATGATTTATATAGAAGTTGGGATAGAAAAAGTTTTTGTCTACAGAACTTTGGTTCTAAATTAGGTAACGTATTTATGGACAATTAATTAAGATTTTCTCATTGGGAAAGTTCCAAACTACATCTCCCTCAAAGCGATCATTGATATCACATCCACCTCCCCATCATAAAGGTGAACTCTATCAATCCAGAACAAGCTTTGGAAATACCCCCTCTTCGAGGCTACGGAGAGTGAGCACCATCTTCGGATACTTAAGAGGACGACACTGCTCTTTACCCTAGTACTTCTACACCACAGAATTCAAGAGTAAACTTTTCCATTCCTAGTGATATCAAGGTCTCAGACGGCTTAGGCTTCCGTATGATTCTACATCGGGATGTATCCTTTAGTAGGCTTGCTCCAAGCTTCCTCATACAAGAGTGATTTCTGACACTGCCTCTAATATATTTGACAGGCATGACATGTTTGTACTAGATCTGTGTTGACCTCATTGTTACTTCGGTCCCAGTGAGCCCCGACTGACGCTTATCCAACGATTCTTTGTAAAAAGTCATGCTTTCGGTAAACATCGAGAAGTGAAGTTGACTTTAACAGCCACTCGAGTCTTGCCAGGATGTATTATAGCTCAGGTACTGGATAGGTTTCCCTTAGTATCACAAAGCCTCACTATCTGCGCCTTCCCTTCTTGTGATAAACACTCCAACTGGGCCTTATTCAAAAACATAGTCTTTCCCTTAAGCCCATGCTTCAGGAAATGCAGCACTAGTAACTACATGGACCAGTTGTGGCTCTAGAAGGGGGTTGTAACAGCAATAATATCTTCCTAGATCTTTAGCTCTTATTGGTTTCTTCGAGGTATACCATCCTTCATAGGACTGGATCTGACTCCATTATAGCTACTTTAAAAATATTCTTATTTGTTCTAAATTAGATTTTGTATCAAAATTAGGATGAATCAAAAAAGTTTTTTGCGGAATAATTATATAAACTTGTTATGAACTAGTTCTACAATCAAACACAATGTTGTCATAAAAATCATTATGACTGTTTTTAAATTTAGAAAGCAAACCTCTTGTTTTTAAGAGATTGAGAAACTGTGACTTACCACCTATTTTGATCATAATTAAATCTGGTCATGCCAAAAGAGAAAACTTATGATAGACGATAAATATTAGCACGAGTTTGATTTTATACTTTGCAAATTATTTATATATAGACCATTTCTCTCTAATACTAGATGGTTAATTAATTCTGGAAATACAACAGTCAATATTTGCTGATATGCAAAAAATTAACAGAGTCTTATGCTATACTTAATCTTTTGGGTTGATCTAAAATTTAATTCGCTTCTTGAGATATATGCAGGTTTCTTCTCCTTACTCGATCTAATATGACAAACACATCTCAATAATCAGCTATTAAATGAGCTTCTCTAATTTTTCAAATGGATGATTGCCATGCGTTAATTTTAATAAACTTTGACAAAAAACTACTCTAACTCAACTCTTTATAAGAGGTTACTGTACAGGGGATTTAAAGAATTAGAATTATTAAAGTGAGAATTTGCAAGAAAATTGCTCAAAATATCAACATCAAACCAATTTTTGCATATAGGAAAAGATTCAAGAAAGACAGAGAATACTACTAAACTTGAAGAATCTAAGAGAAAAGCTGGAAATCGTAGATTTGTGTCACCGACACCTCAAATTACAGAGGGGTTTAACCAAACTTTAATCAATCCGAACTACAGTAGTATCCTGCAAGAGAAGAGAGGAAAGGCTTCAGTAAAATTTAAAGAGAGACATCAGATAAAACAAAAGGCTTTAGGAGATACTTCAAACACTGAAAGACCTGAGTTTATTATCAAAAAGAAGTTTAATATAAATAGAGTTAATTTTATGGAAACTGGTAAGGCAGTAAATGGAGAAGAGAAAACCATGAAATTTCCAAGCAACCCGACTAATGAGACACTTTCTTCTATAGTTTCAAACTTGAACAAATAAGCTGTATATCTCTCCGAAAGTTGAACAGAAGGAGCAAAAGTTTCAACTAGGATCTCCACTCCTCATTAAGGAATTTGAAAACTCTCCTATGATTCAAGGTAATATAGATCAAAGGCTTTGAACTAAAAAGAGCAGAGGCAAATCATCACCTCATGTAAGTTATATCTAACCCATCTAGAATGATCCAGAACTGAAACAAAAGATGATAGTAAAAGGAAAGGAGAAAATATTAGAAGCAAATATGCAACAGAACGATGCTGTTATAAACCTCACCCAAAAAATTATTAAAAGGACACAAATCAATGAACAAATTCGCAAGCAACTCACTGTTAAATAAAAGACAAGATTTTGAACCCACAAAATGAAAAGATGAGCCTCAGTTTCATAACAAAAGAATCAAGAAATCTAAAGAAAAAGGCTCAGAATTTGAGAAAAATTTTAAACATCAGGAGGATGATAAAAAGAAGCTAGAGTCTGCCCAAATGATTAATATCGAACAGAGGCAGCTAGAGAGCAATCAACAGGCTAGTATACAACCGGTCAACAGAAACATTGGAGGTTTGAAAACCATAGATCGCATCAAATTTAGTAAGAGGAGTTTTGAGTCAAATATACTTGCTTTCAAATGAATTTTATGTCCAATTTAATCTAAAATCAGTCAGCAATAGCTCTATTTAAAGCAAAATATCAAGCAAACTTATCCAAGTTGGCTCCCCAATACCCGTAAATTTGCTTAGAATGTGCCTCAACTCTGCTAAATTTTAGAGTCTATTCGACTGATCTTGAAGACATTAATGTATTAATGAATAGAAAGCTATCTGTGCCCAAGTCGTTATTTTTATCTATATGCTTTCAGTACAATATCTATCCTTAAAATCGATTTTATTAGCACGGCATTCTTCGAATGCTGGTTTTAGTAGTGTTTTAAATATATCCGAACAATTGTTAGGACTTAGTAACGTTGGAAAATTATCATTGAAAATTTATATTGGTTATTTGAGTTCTCCATTCAAGTGAGAATAGACAATTCTTTGAAATATTTTGTCGCTTAATTATATAAGCAAGTGTATCTAAAAACATTTCTGGTAAGAGATATAAAGAATCAATTGATTTTTCAATCTTTTAAAGTTTAGATGGCTCTTACATATTTCTGTAGATGATTCTTGCACTGTAGTTAGCAAAGGCTCGAAAATTCCAATATCCCCGAATTCAAGTTTTCGAACTAACATGAAATCTTTGAAAAAGAGTGAAATAAACTTTAAAAATCAGAGCAAAGACATGAACAAAAAAGATACAGTGAACATATATAAAGGTCATAATAACACCAGCTACAACCACACTAATGATACCAGCTTCAACGAAGAAAAGATTTTAAAGGGAATCAGAAGCGGAAGGCTGGACAGCAAAGTTTTTGATAGCAAGAGCAGTATTATAGTATCTTATATTTTAGATGAACAGAGCTTGGTGATTAACAAGAAACCTTCTTCAAATACTGCGAATGGTCATACTGCTGAAGGGAGCAAGAACAGTAATATTAACCTTTGAATAAGCCCATACTCTTCCATTAATAAAGAGAGTAACTTAAATAAAGTATCTTGCAAAGTTCCTCTCTTAAAGAAAACAATCGATAGCTTAATGATGCCCACAAATGTTGTTAATGAAGCAGATGAGAGTCAGAATGAAGATAGTATTCTAAGGAAGTCATCTAATGTTATTCTTGAAGGAGAGGGATCTAGTACTCATCAAGAGAACAGGCCTGAAAAGCTCTCTTCATCTTCTTCAAGGAATGATAAGGTGAAGCATAAGGATCGATATTATGAAGAAAGTAAAGAGTATAACAATCATCCGAATCGAAGCCTAACCTCTAGTCTTTGTAATGAATCAAGACAAAATGCTTTCAAAGTAAATATAACTAAGCAAGTAATGCTTGATTTCTCAAAGGAGGGGAGCTTAAATCTTGAATCAAAATCCTTTGGCAATAAATTGAAAGGAGAAGAAGATGAGGTTCTACTTTCTGACGATGAAGAAATTCAGATTCTTAATCATCCAATAAAAGGAAAAGCAATGAAGAGATCTTTTGACGAAATTCCTCTAGAAGTTATTCCTAAGAATCTGACTAAAATAAACCTGACTAAAAAGAAAACAAGATTTGATGAGGAAGATGATTCAATAGTTTTAAATAGGTATTTATAGTTTTGCTAATTTTTTAGTGAGCAAGCAGAATCTGAACAATCTTACAAAAAAGAAGAGCTAAGAGATGTAGATAGCGATGTATTTAATAGAAGTATTATTGGAGATGGCACTCCTGAAGGAAGACTAAAACTCCTTGACCAAGAGTGATGAGAAGAAGATAGTCAAAGATTACCAACTCCAGAAGCTAAGCTTGACTTTACTCCAAGAAAAGTGTTCTTCCTCAACCAAGAGAGAGATATGGAATAAATTTTCTGATCAAATCTATACAATTCATCCTATTTTCTCAAAGTGACATTTTATATTCAATATTAGAGATCAGCTGGGGTTTTGGGGTTTTGGGGTTTTGGGGTTTTGGGG